CATACCACATGAGTCAATGGCATTTTTTTTTCTAATTTTAGTATAATAACCTTCGGCCTCACCTTATATGAGAATGATATGTTAAAAATAGATCCCGGTTTAACTAAATTGTCCCTCCTCTGCAGCATAGAACCACAACAATAGATTTCTATCCTTTTTCTAAGCAATCCTTTTTTGCAGAACGAAAACCTTCTCTTACTACGATGTTATAATGAAAATAGATCCCTGTTTAACTGAACGCTCTCTCCTCTACACAATAGAACCACAGTAATAAATTACTTTCCTTTTTCAGAAGCACCCTTTTGTATATTTTCCGTATTCAACTCGAACCTTGACATCTATAGCCAGAGACACTTCTTTTCATTCGACCTACAGATCATTTAACTGGATGCGTCGTTCCCATCTCGACTATAAGAACATATTTTTTGGTGATTGCAACAGTACCCATTTTCGCCTATGCTGCAGGATAATTATATATTCGGCCTTCCAAAAATCGGAAGTCTAGATTTCATCTCGTAATCTAACTCAAACATAACACACGAGGCAATGGAAAATTGTATATCATTTTACTGTAATTATACCGAAAATCTTCTCTAATGACGATGGTATATTGAAAATAGATCCATGTTTAACTAAATTTTCTCTCCTCCATACAACCACATCAATACATTACTATCCTTCGTTTGATGCACTCCATTTGTATTTGTCCCTATATTATTCATACCTTGGCATTCTTAGCCGGAGATTATTCTGTCCAATGGACGGATCATTTCACTAAATGCATCTTTTGAATTTCCGCTGTATGGACATATTTTTCGGGAGATTTCAACTGTACCCATTTTCTTTTATGCTGGTGGGTAGTTATATATTCGGTCTTCCAAAAGTCTGAAGTCCACATTTCATATCGTAATCTAACCTAAACAAATAGATCCCTGTTTAACTAAATTATCTCCCCTCTGCACAATAGAACCACAGCAAGACATTACAATTCTCTATTTGTTTTCGGTATACTACTTCTTGGCGTCCTTTCCAGGAATTCGTTAAGAACAGACTGACCATTTCACTGGATGTGTCGTTTCAATTGCAACATATTATTTTTTTGGTAGATATTGTTGGGGCTTTACCCAATGTTTCTTCTATGATACAGGGTATCTTACTATTCTCAGCCTTCCATAAATCCTTTAAATCAAATGTCCATTTAGAGGACCTTTCAGAGGGTTCTGGTTCCTTCATTGTTATTTCTGTATATAAACTCGAACCTTGATATCCCTTACCCGGAGAAACTTTTTCAATTCAATAGGAAAACGAAATCCTTTAATGGCATTTTGAAAAAATAGATCGCTGTTTAACTAAATCTGCCTTCTACACAATAGAATTTCAGCAAGATATTAATATTCTTCTTTCGAAGCACATTAGATAAAAATCAGCTGATTGCAATAAACAGATGATATGTGGTGTAAAAACTGCATTTGTAGAAGCGCCTCTCATCACCTGATTACATTAAACAACTGCCAATGCGAGATGGTGTAATAACGAACTCCTAAGTCGCTCTTTTTTTGGTTTAACAAAATCGGAAAACTACATTCACTGGCAATAACACAAAAAATATTCCCATTACGATACAAAAACGAAACCATTTAATATTTAAAAAATATATCCCTGTTTAACTAAATTTTCTCCCTTTTACACAATAGAATCACAGCACGGTACTAATATTCTTCTTTCGAAACACATGAGATAAAAATCAGCTGATCGTAATAAACAGCTGATATGTGGTGTGGTGTAGAAACGCCTCTCATCAGCTGTTTACATTAAACAAGTGATATATCTAATTTTTACAAAATCGGAAAACTACATTCAGTGGCAACACCATAAAAAATATTTTCATTACGATAGAAAAACAAAAATCTTTAATGGCATATTAAAAATAATAGATCCCTGTTAAACTAAATCACAATAGAATCACAGCAAGGTACTAATATTCTTCTTTTGAAGCACAATCAGCTGATTGTAATAAACAGCTGACATATGGTGTGGTGTAAAACCTGCAGTTTTAGAAACCTGTACTTGTGGGCTTAATAACGCTCTCCTACGTCCCTTTTTTTTGGTTTACAAAATCGGAAATACCTGATAGTCCTTCAAATTCAGATAGGAAGCACCTCTATTCACCGATCACGACCGGTCAAAGGCAATTTTCAACCTGCTGACAGAATGTTCTCTAATTTCTTCAGCATTAGTGAGGAAATTAGTCTCGAAGTACCAATGCTAAAATGATCGAAGCTTCCTTCAGTCTCTATAACTAAAAACTACAAAGCAGCAGATACATTTCGTCTTAAAAATAAGGCAACCCTAGACCTTTTTGTGTGAAGAGACAATCAATGCTTGGGGACCTGATATCCTTCTCCCAATTTATTAATTTCTATTCTATTAATAATTCCTTCTCATTTTTCCAGGGCACCGATGATCGTCGCAATTTCCTGCGTGAAGGTAAATATTTCCACTGTGTCTGCGCACGCTGTGAAGATCCCACCGAGTTGGGTTCGCACATGAGCACCCTGATCTGCAATAAATGTGCCACAAATAAACAAGAAGGTTTCATTATGAAAATCGATGCGAAAACATGGAAATGTTCCAATTGCCAACATTGCCTCAAAAATGAGCAGGTCGAAACGATATTGGAAAAAGTCAAAGAGGAAGTATTTCATGCCCAAGATGATATACGACATTTGGAATACCTGCTCACCAAATTACCAACACTCCTTCACAAAAATCACTACATCATTGTGGATGTTAAACAAAATATTGCCAATATGTTAAGGTCCATAATACGCAATAGCCTACAGAGGCCCGGAAGGCAATTGTATGAGAGGAAGATTCGATTATGTCAAGAATTGGTTGTGCTACTGCATATAATACAACCGGGTATATCGAGATTAAAAGCTATTGCTTTATATGAAATGGCAATTGCATCGGCGGAACTGTATCGTTTGAAATTTGGTGAAGATGAAATAAATGCGGAGGAGTTGCAGGAATATCTACGGAAATGTGAAGCAATGTATAGGGAAGCAATGCGTTTGTTGCTGTACGAACCACCAGAAACTCCCGAGGGACAATTAGTTAAGAGTATAATTAATGAGTTGAGAGATTTACGTAGTGATATCCAGTTGTTGGATAATCCATTGCCTGATCAGGGTGCAGATGAATAAAAGGGAAAGATGTTTATTTTTTTAAATACAAAAAAGGAGTGGATGTTTTAATTTTTTTGGGGGAAAGGGGGTATTGGGAAAATATTATTTACTTGCTGCAGCTGAAATGTTAATCGTGGGATTTGTTGCCAGGCTTGATCGACGTTTTCTTGTAAATTGAGGTTTTAAATGTACATCAGCTGATTGCAATAAACAGCTGATATGTGTTGTAAATCCTGCAATTGTAAAAACGCCTCTCATCAGCTGATTTCGTTAAACAGCTGCTATTGCGAGTGGGTGTAATAACGCTCTCCAACGTCTCTTTTTATGCTTCTACATAATTGGAGATTTACATTCATGGGCAATACCACAAAAAATATTCTCATTACATTTATACCTACCAATCCGACCTCCGAAATATTTTTGATAATATATTTATTTGTAGAAAAAATCGATTTTAAATTTTATTCTAGTATTTGTGAAGGTGTACTGAAAGAATTTTCTAATAAAATTAATGAAACGAGCGAAAAAATTAGTTTTTAATGTAATTTAAAAATCAGCTGATTGCAGTAAACAGCTGATATGTGGATCAGCTGATGGCATTAAACAGGGTGTAATAACGCTTTCATATGTCCCTTTTTTGGTTTTATAAAATCGGAAAACTGAATTCGTTGACAATACCACATAAAAATATTCTCATTACGATGTAGCCTGAGAAAAATATTTTAAATTCAATTGACCCAATAGGAATTTCTAACAATCCTATAATAACCAGTAAGGAAAGTAGTAAAGTCGGACTGAGCCGACTATATGATACCCTTCACCACATTGGGTATATTTTACATATGTATCCTAACAGACGACGCGTTTTGTTATAAATCTATATCTGAACCGATTTCAGGGAAACTTGCCAGATACTAATTTATATAACATCAGTACGTTGTGTCAATCGGCCTAGCTATGGATCTTTTCACGAAGCTTAGCAACATCACTCTCGACTTAACTCCGTGCCCTATACCAAAATTCGTGTAAATCGAAAGATATATGGTCTTTGGTGCACCAATTACCTTAAATCGGATGAAAATACATATGGGAGCTATATCTAAATCTGAACCGATTTTCACGAAACTTGGAAAACATCATTCTAAATCTTATTCATAACTCTGTGCTAAATTTCGTGCATATCAAAAGATTTCCAGGGACTTTAGTGGACTATTTACCTAAAATCGGGCGAAGCTATATATGGGAGCTATATCTAAATCTGAACCGATTTTTACGAAACTTTGCACACATCATTCTATATTTAATTTAGTACGCTGTGACAAATTTTGTGCAAATCGAAAGATATATAGGGACTTTGGTACACAATTAACCTTAAATCGGACGAAGATATATATGGGAGCTATATCTAAATCTGAACCGATTTTCACGAAACTTGGCAAACATAATTCTAGACCTTATTCATTATGCTGTGCCAAATTTCGTGCACATCAAAAGATTTCCAAGGACTATTTACCTAAAATCGGACGAAGCTATACATGGGAGCTATATCTAAATCTGAACCGATTTTCTCAAAACTTTTCACACATCATTCTAGACTTAATTCAGTACACTATGCCAAAATTCGTGCAAATCAAAAGATTTCCAGGGACTTTAGTGGGCAATTTACCTAAAATCGGGCGAAAATATATATGGGAGCTATATCTAAATCTGAACCGATTTTCACGAAACTTTGCACATATCATTCTAGACTTAATTTAGAACGTTTTGCCAAATTTCGCGCAAATCGAAAGATATATAGGGACATTGGTGCACCATTTACCTTAAATCGGACGAAACTATATATGGCAGCTATATCTAAATCTCAACCGGTTTTCAGGAAACTTAACACATATCATTCTAGACCTAATTCATTACGCTATGCCAAATTTTGTGCAAATCGATGGATATATAGGAAATTTGGTACACCATTTACCTTAAATCGGACGAAGATATATATGGGAGCTATATCTAAACCTGGACCGATTTTCAGGAAACTTAACACATATCATTCTAGACCTAATTCATTACGCTATGCCAAATTTTGTGCAAATCGAATTATATATAGGGACTTGGGTACACCATTTATCGTAAATCGGACGAAAATATATATGGGAGCTATATCTAAATCTGGACCGATTTTTCCCAATTTCAATAGGGTTTGTCCTTGGGCCAAACAAATGAGCTGTGCCAAATTTCATCCAATTCGGATCATAAATGCGACCTGTACTTTGTTTACAATTTAACATGGACAGACTGACGGACATGCATAAATCGACTTAGAAAGTGATTCTATGCATATTCTCAAAAGGAACCATGTGTCTATCTCGATTATTTTTGCCTGTTACAAACATATGCACAAAGACATAATACCCTGTACCACAGTGTGGTGAAGGGCATAAAAACCTCTCTAGATTGTTTTCAATCCTGCCTCCGACGCATTTTTGTATACAAATTTGATTTTTAATTTTATTTTGAGTATTTTCAAATGAATATTGAAAAAAGATATGCGTGAGAGTGTCCTAATAAAATTACTTAATATAACTACAGCATTTGTATTTAATGTAATTAAAAAATCAGCTGATTGCAATAAACAGCTGATATGTGGTGTGGTGTAAAACCAGCATTTGTTAAAACGCCTCTTCTCAGCTGACTACATTAAGTGTAAAAAACGGTCTCCCAGTTTTCTTCTTTTACTCTAACAAAATCGGAAAACTATTTACAATTAGAGTTGGGCAATCTAGTTCACGTAGCGGATCGATCTTTCCCGTTCCTTTTTTTTAAAAAGGAACTAATGTTCCTTTGTTCCATATAGTTCCTTTACTCCGCACAGTTCCTTTGATCCAAATAGTTCCTTTGCTCCGTATAGTTTCTTTGCTCCATATAGTTCCCGTACTCCATACAGATCCTTTGCTCTTCATAGTTCCTTTGCTCTTCATAGTTCCTTTGCTCCATATAGTTCCCGTACCCCATACAGATCCTTTGCTCTTCATAGTTCCTTTGCTCCACATAGTTCCTTTACTCCATACAGTTCCTTTGCTCTTCATAGTTCCTTTGCTCCATATAGTTCCTTTACTCCACACAGTTCCTTTGCCCTTTGAAGTTTCTTTGCTTTTTATAGTTCATTTATGTTCAAAAAAGAACGAGATCAGAAAAAAGAACGAGAATAAAGCACGATACCAAAAAGGAACGAGATCAAAAAAGGAACGAGATCAGAAAAAGGAACTATATTCATTAAGTTGGAATTAGTTCCGATCGTTCCTTTCTCGGAATAGTTCCAATGAACTAGTTCGTTCCGGAACTACCCAACTCGACTGACAATACCATCATAACTATTGTCATCATGTGGCAACCTGAAGAATGCATTTTCACCCCAATCTTCGGAATATGAATCTTTTTTTGACAATCCAATAATCTCGGCCATTCCAGGTTGTCTTTGCCACGCTTGTACTAGGGATAAGTAAATAGACTTTCGATTAATCGATTAATCGACTTTTGGTATTGAAAAGTCTAAAAGTCGAAATCGACTTTTGATCTATGAGAAAATCGTAAAGTCGACTTTTGAAGATCGACTTTCGATTTTCTTCATAGATGCTTGATTTTTTATCACAAAGCTCAAATTGCCCAAAAATTGCACATTCCGGAACTTTAATTTATCTGTTCACAATAATTCATATAAAAAATCAAATTTTTAGTCGATTTTGCAGAAGTCAGTAAAAGTCGAAAATCGATTTTGAACAGTTTCGACAAAATCGAAAGATCGAAAAGTCGACTATTTAGTCAAAGGCTAAAATCGAAAAGTGTAAAAATCGACTTTTTGGTCAGAGGCAAAAAAGTCGACTTTCGCGCTCGACTACGTATCCCTAGCTTGTACTTACCAATCGAGCCTCTGAAATATTTTTAATAACAATTTATGTGGTTTTAAAAAAATTATTTTCAATTTTATTTTGAATGAGTATTTTTAAATGAATATTTTGGGGGAAAATAAATGTACGTATGTGAAGATGTAACAATTTTCTAATAAAATTAATTAATACTAACTACAATATTTGTTTTTAAATGTAAATAAAAAGAAACAGCTGATTACAGTAAACAGCTGATAATGTACTGTAAAACCTGCAATTGTAAAAACGCCTCTCTCTCAGCAGCTGATCACTTTAAACATCTATTGTGAATGGTTTTACAAAATCGGAAAACTACATTCACTGGCAATACCGCAAAAACTATTCTCATTACGTGGCAACCGGAAGAAACCATTTTCACCCCAATTAGCCGAATAGGAATTCTTCACAATCCAATAATCACGACCATTCTCGGTGCCATAACCCACAACGACAACCGAATGATTTACCTCGCCCTGATTGCATTGATTATCATCATAGATACCACCACTATATTGTTCAAATGACACAACATCCGCATTCATGGAACAGGCCAAAGGGCCCAATGTGGCAATCACCTCTTTCATTTTGGCCTCATCTCCCGGCTTGATGCGGGCATAATCTCGAATATAAACACCCTTATCGGTCGTCTCGTTGCGGCCACATTGGGCATTTTCCATTTGGGTATAGGGATATTTACTGGCCACCGAAACACCATGATCACGTATATATTCAAAGGCATATTCCTGGAAGCCACCATCACAACCCATGGAACCATAATCTTCGGCACAATCTACCAAATTTTGGGTAGATAGGGGCACCAAGAGGCCTGTGCGTCGAAATAGATGACCTTCCAAGGCACCAATGGTGGCAAAGGACCAACAGGAACCACAATCGACGCCCTGGAAATCTGGTGGTGTGACACCGCCCAGCTCACGCCAATCAAAATGATCCGGCAGGCCATCATCTTTCGTTTTGGCTGTTACAAAGTTGGTGTGTTGAGAGGTGATGTTTCTAGAAAAAGAGAGAGAGAGAGAGAGAGCGAAAACACATTAGTATTTTGTGAGAGAAAAGATGAGTAGAAAATTACTTACTCTCCAA